GGGCAGCCTGTTCCAGTGCTTGACAACCCTTTCAGTGAAGATATTTTTCCTAATAGCCAATCTAAACTTCCCCTGGCACAACTTAAGGCCATTTCCTCTTGTCCTATTGCTTGTTACATGGGAGAAGAGACCAACCCTCATCTCGCTACACCCTCCTTTCAAGTAGTTGGAGAGGGCGATCAGGTCTCCCCTCAGCCTCCTCTTCTCCAGACCAAACACCCCCAGCTCCCTCAGCCGCTCCCCATCAGACTTGTGCTCCAGACCCTTCACCACCTTCGTTGCCCCTCTCTGGACTCGCTCCAGCACCTCAAGGGCTTGTAGTGCAGGGCCCAAAACTGAACACAGGACTCAAGGTGCGGCCTCACCAGTGCCGAGTACAGGGGGACAATCACTGCCCTGGTCCTGCTGGCCACGCTATTGCTGATACAAGCCAGGATGCTGTTGGCCTTCTTGGCTACCTGGGCACACTGCCGGCTCATGTTCAGCTGGCTGTCGACCAACACCCCCAGGTCCTTTTCTGCCATGCAGCTTTCCAGCCACTCTTCCCCAAGCCTGTAGCGCTGCACAGGGTTGTTGTGACCCAAGTGCCGTCGATACACCTGAGCTATTACACTGCTCCCTGGGACTGCCCATGCAACTTTTTCTTAGAAATTTGGTCAGTACTATATCCAGAGAGCAAAAGCAATCTAACGATTCCTCAAAGGAGACCTGAATGTGTTCTTTTGATAAAGCCTGCCCCCAAATGTAACAATTCCAGCTACTAATAATGAAAGCAAGGAAGCAACAATCCATTCCCCTTTCCCCCAAATCCAAGCTACCCACAATATCAAGTCAGACCTTGTGACCTTCAAAGCATCTCTTCCAGTCCTGCATGTCTTTCAGTATTATATGCATTTTGGGGGAGAAGAAATTAGTCACCTTGTGGTGTTTTCTCCAGTAATCCAAGAGCAGCACATGCATCAAGGAGTCTTTCTGTTCCACACACAGAGGTTCCAACCTCATTTGCAATATCCACAGCCTTCAGTGGACCTTTATCTTTAAGATGATCAAACATCTTCAGCTTAGAGGCTACAAACAGAGCCTGCATGTAGGAAAAAAGTTGTTAGCATGCTGTGTTTTTAAAAGACTGCAATCAAGAAACAAAAGAACTGTAGCTTTTGCCTAGAATTATTCTACACAACTACTGTTCTTTAAGAAATGCAACACAATAACAAAGCTCCTAAAAATTGCTGTGATACATTTCCTTCCCTCTCAGAGGGTTTCACTATCTTAGCTAAGTAAGAGAATTTTGAACAGAGGTGTTTGGGAGAGAAGGGAACTCAAAATATTCTGGAACACAGCCCATAGATTTTGTATGAAGACCACCTCTTTGTTCAGATATTTAGCATATCCCTATCTATAAGACTCTTCCATAAGGTCAAACATTCTTAAGCATCTGAACCAATGCCAAAAGATCAAATTATATTTGATTTACCCAAAACATAAGGAACCAGAAAGCTCCACTAAGGCAGTGTAACAGCTTCAGTTGCTATAATATTGATCTTTGTTTAATAAAAATTAAGGAGAAAAAAAAGAGTAAAACTTCAGAGCACAACTGTACTACATGCACACCTTAATAGGATGTGTACACATGGAATAGGGAAGAGAAGAGCTACTGCCTGATGGTGAAGAAAAACCCATGGGAAATGCAGCTGTCTAAGTTGAAAGACTTAACTGAACTTGTAGAGATATGCTAACTAAACCAGACAGGAAAGTTAATGAGGTGATAATATATACTTCTCCATTTGAAATTCACTTGCGATACTGCAGTTTCGTTATTCTGAAATAGTTAAAACACCTAAAACCAAGGAACTTCTGGAGAGCACAAGAGTGGAAGCACACACAGCAATCTCACATTCCATTTCTTTGCAACTGCAGGCAACTATGGTGTACTTAAAATTCAAAGGCAGTCAAGGAAAAAAGGGATTGACATTCTGTTTAATAAAAATCAAAATGGAGAAAAAAAAAAGAGACTAACTTTGAGAGGAAGGTCTGCTACTGTGTGTCTATGTTTTACCATCTTCATCCTCTTTTTACAGTTTCCTCTGTTATTCTAATAAGAATGTACAGCTGGGATTTATTATAATCCAGGCTTTCACAATACTGAGCCAATGGGATCTAGTCTACAACCATTTGACTTCCAAGACCTGCCCAACCTTTGGACTGGTACCACTTGGAAACTATAAGAACAGGAAAGAGAAAGTGAGAAGATAGGGTCAAAAACTTGGCTGATCCAATTCACTCTTTCTACCATTCTGTAATTCTCAGTTCAAGGAGGAGGAGGGAGTCAAAGGAAAAAACCCAAAGGTCTGAGTACAGATCAGACTTCAGGCAAATTCAGAACATATTAAGTTTGAGAAAGTATGATTTAACCCTGATCCCCTCCTGTTCTGCAACAGCAGCTGTTCAGAGTAAAATAGGTGGCAACATCTTCACCTGCGGGAGATTTCACTCTGAAAATCCTTGAAGCAACACTCAAAACCTAAATGCTTTTATGCTCTTAACCCTATTCTACAAGTGGAGAGATGATCAGTTTTGTCAGATCACAGGAAGCATTCACTACAACTAGTAATTAATTTTACAAAGATCCAAGCCCTGAGGAAAAAAATTTCCCACAAGTTCAACAAAAAACCCAGCATTTCATATTATGACTTTACACTGGGTTAGTGGGAAAGGAAAGCTTCTGCTTTTATTTACAGCCTCCACCATCTTTCACTGCAGAAAACTGAATTCAGCAACACATCACTGTAAACACTGTACATAACATGCAACAAAATGCTGATGATTCTCCACAACAAAATCCCGACGATTCTCCACTTTTTGGTTTTTACTTAAATTCAAGAAACAATAAGCATCATCTCACCCATTCAAATACATCAAAACTCACCCCCTATGGATACACAAGGAAGTTCACAAATGCAACAATCTCAAGGCTGCTTTATTCCAAATCTCTCAATACCACTTTGCACGCCTGCAGGCAGCACGCCCACAGATCTACAGTGACTACACTATGGTTTTCCTTCAGATCCGAATACAACTTTTCCCTGTTTCAGCAAAACCATTGTCCACTGTCTTGCCTGTTTCCCTCCATCCCCCTTCACATTTGTTATGTCTTTAGTTCCAGGTTTGTCATTTCACTGCTACTTTATCAGCTTTTTCACATCTTCCTAAAACATGAATGATGTGATGGAGATCTTCAGATCCAAATACAACTTTTCCCTGTTTCAGCAACCATTGTCCACTGTCTTGCCTGTTTCCCTCCATCCCCCTTCACATTTGTTATGTCTTTAGTTCCAGGTTTGTCATTTCACTGCTACTTTATCAGCTTTTTCACATCTTCCTAAAACATGAATGATGTGATGGAGATCAGCAACCTATTAGAATGACTAGTGTTCATTGCTCCTTCACCTTCTTCACTATTGTCTTCACTACACTGAAATTGTGAGTAGAAAACCTGGTAGTAGTTAAAATGTCCAGCTACTTATTTCTCATCACTTGGCTGCTACATAAATATGACCTTCTGTTTGTAAGCTCTCATGTCTGTGTCTCCATCAGATACTACATGGAGATTATCAGCTAAACATACCTAGAACATGAAACAGAGTCTAGAAAAAAATCTCATTAACAGGGAATAAAAAAATTAAGATCTTCCACAGAATTCTAATGCTAAGCATTAAAAGTTAGGAAAGAAATATAACATATACAATTCTTGTCACAGTTCTAATTCAGATAAGTTAACCATATTAAATGCTTTCTTTGCAGAGTATATATAAAGTAACTTCCTGCTTCACTGTGCTCTTGCGATGAGTAAAAAGAAAGGAGTAATTGAAGTTTCATAGAACAGATAAAAGCAAATACCAAAAAAAAACCAATGTTAGCATTGCACCAGAAATTTCATCTATCTCAGATTCTCTGGTACTTCAGTGGTCCTTTTACAGTAATTATTAATACATTCTTACCCCAGCTCAAATATTTCACATTACCTGCTATATATTGAACTCCAATGAGACAATCATATCAGTCAGCAATGTAACAAGTAGTTTTTATTTTTTCCCTTACCTTTGAAGCTCTAAAACCATCCATCAGCTCTAGAATTTTAGGTGGAAGTTTCACTGCACTTTCCAACACTCCATTCTGATTTTCCAAAGGTACCATAAAATCAGTTCTGGCACTAGGACTGTTTTCAGAATTGTAAATAGCTCCTGAGGAACACATCCCACCGCTGTCCAACTTACTAGCACCTTTATGCTCTGTGAAATTTGAAGATTCACTTTCTCCATCACTTAGGCTCTCAAAAGTGTCCACAGAAGGGATAGAGTCATACTTTTTATGTTGTACATTGTGTTTAGGGGGTGGATAGTACAATTCTGCTAGCTTTTTGCAGAAGTGATTCAGAGGAAATCCCACCACATTCAAGAAGTCTCCATGGACATACTCAACTAACATTCCACCAAGGGCCTGAATTCCATATCCACCAGCCTTGTCCCTGGGGGAAAGCAAGCAAAAACGGCATATATCTAATTAAGGTTAAGCGTAAAGGTAGCACAGAACACAAATAATCCACCAGTACTGCAGAGTCTGGAATAAAGACTAGTATACTCAAGTTAGAGGTAGATTAGATCTACTAGTTAGGCTCAACATTTCAATTTATAAATCACAGGATAAATATAAGGATCAGTATTTCTACTAAGGGTGAGTAGCCTAAGGTCTTTATACTTCAGATGGTCCAAGTGCCATAGTCACCTAAGCAGGAGGTCCATCAGCTAACAGCAGTCAAGATTGTGTTGCCATAGGTCAGTCAGCATTCTCCAAGTCCTGGCTACCAAAACGGCAACAGCAAAGGTCACTGAGACCAACATTGCCAACTGGGTCACTCAGCTGTATACTGACCCTAGCTGTATTCCACAAGAGGCTGAAGGGCCTTCAGGAAAACATTAGCTCCAAAAGGAGCTTACACTGAAGAAGACATCTTAGAACTTAAACAATTTTAGTGCGTGTCTTGCAGATCTCAGTCACAGGACTATCTAAAATGAGGATCAGGAAGACAGGACTTTCTTGGGGAGGAACAACCTATTCAAACACAAAATCTACTACTATCCCATTCACCCCTATCCAATTCTTGTGTAATCTTCTGAGATATAAGTAGCATTGTGGTTCAGACACTGTGCTATTAGATGTCATGGTAATACTAGTAATCTGGCATAGGAATGTATTTTCACAGACAGTGACCTTGGAAATCTAATTTGTCTTCAGGTATAATATGCAAATTCCACTGTGTGGAATGGAAATGCATACAGGCAGATAAACTGCAATAGACCCAACAATTTTACAGTTCACATTTTAGGAACAAGGCAGTTAGAAGTATGCTTACTACATGATAACACCCGAATCTGAAAGCCTAAGTTGGCAAGCTTTGAAACCAAAGGTCAGTCTCAGATCTATTAACTTCAGATAGCATGGAATTACACAAACTACTTGGGAAAGAAGGTTACTACACAAAGAAGATTGCAGATTTTTCATCTTACGATTTGATCAGAACCAGCTCTTTACATTTTAGAATTTATTTCTGGATTCCCTTTCAGATAGTTTCCTAAGAGAAACAGAGGAATCAGTATCCCAGCAAATGGGATTTTTGAATTGTTATAAACTATGGAATGGGGCTTCTCCTTTCATCTTGCATTTTAAGCACCACTGTATAGCTTTGTCACTGTTTAAGTTATTCCTTCTTTTGTAACATACTTAAGGCCTACACCATCTAAATTAGGAATGTTCTAATGACTAAAAAGTCTTTTCATTTTTAAACAAAGTAGCAGTCCAGTAGATGAAGTCGTTCTGGCATATGCTGACAGGGAGGCAAAAAATGTTGTGACCATCAAAAGTAGTGGTATCATACTGCCAGCAAGGACATTAACACAGTTGGCCACATCTTGTTCATTTTTATACAGAACTTAAAATTCTGGCATTGGATCCTGAGTAGGATTCTCTACTATAGCTACAGCTTCTAGTCCAAAAGCATGAGGCTATGTGGTTAGTAACAGTGCCATTGATTTTTCAACAAGTGTACTCCATGCTAAAAACCTAGAATATATCAGTATTTACACAGCTCTCATAACTAGCTCAGGCTAATCTGACTGGCTTTTGTAACTGGATACTTTCATTAACATAGCACTAACTTTAAGGCTTCATTTATAACACCAGTAGCCAGTATGGGAGGCCATGGAGGAGGGGACAAAAAACCCCAACCAACCAAAAAACTCCATGAGAATCTTCTCCTTACTGTTTTGCAAAATTTATAGGACGCCATATTTAGCAGCTCCTTTCCAACACCAGAGCAAATACTTCCTGTCCTCTTGATTATATGAATGAAGATTGATTGGCTTCTGCTCCAGAGAGTAATGAAATACATTCTCTGAACCTTTGGTCCCTGAGAAATCTTTGCTGTCACACACCCCATTTAGCAGAATGAAGAGAGTTACCCAGTGCTGCTCATGAGCCATTTTGCTGCAGCACAGCACTGCCAAAGCACATTTTCTTCCAGAGAAAATAATCGGAATATTCCAAGATATTTTTCAACCTGACATTCTTCCTAAAAATCCATGGTCATTTCTCCTTCAAACTGCAACTTTATGATCAGCTGCATACTAAAGATCACATTCAAAAAGCCTAACTAGGAATTTCTGTTACAAACTGTATTCTTTCCAAAATATTCTTCTCTGCATAATAATTTAGCTTCAGGCTCTTCAATAAGTTGGGAACCTTACATGTTCAGAAAGTATGCCTCATTTACACACAAGCACTTAAATAAATCTGAAGTCTACACTGCTTCCTCTTTCCCCAGTAAAACATGACTGTATTGTTTTAGAGCATAAATGAGTTTAAAAAACTCCACTGTTTATATTCTTACACAGTCAGAATTGAAGTCAGAGCCAAAAGCTCACCACAGATCACCAGATATGCAGTTCATAGTGCTAACTATGGCCTGATTTGCCTTCACTAAGCTTCAGCTAACACAAAGGAAAGGCAAATTCTGTAAAGTCAAAAACATTCCCTTGTTGTGTCCAAATAAGTACTTTTTTCTTTTTTGTTTTTAAAACAATCTAGTCAACTTCATCTTAGGAATAGTTAGGCATTCTGTTCTCATCCTGTTTCTTCTATGGAATCAATGTTGTCTGTAACTAACTAGTATATAACAAGGGTAGTGTAAACCCAGACACTAAGAGACAATTATGCCATAGGAACACATATAAGCTGGCCACAAGAGTAAGTGAAAATTAAGTTGGCATTTCCTGCATCAGAGTAGTGCGATTTTGATAAACTAAATAAACCAAGTTCTAGCTTCTTTCAATAAAGTTCTCCAATACACTGATTATCCAATACTCACTCTATTCACCTGTTTTATAATGAGAACTATCCATTGCCTCAGGTATCCAAGCTCCCTGAACGCCTCTCTTAACAGACAGGTAATTTTATACTGCATGAGTGCTCGCTCTAAATCCATAGTATTTCAACAGCCTTCACTTTTCAGATTTGTTAGGGTAGCTCACTGGAGGAATGATAGCTTTAGACAAGAGGAACAGAATACCCACCTTGCATCACCCATGCTATCGTTTATCACATATACTCTGCAATATTTCACAGAACACAGGACAAAATGTTTTATCCTGGTGGCTAATAATGTACCCTAAGGCCTATTCTCAAGTACTGTGTGATAGCTTCATGGTCTTACTTACATTGGCTCCCCGCTATGAATGTACTCCCATAAGAGCTCTTCAGACAGGTCAGAAAATTTTACTTTAGTCTCTTCATAGAAATCAGTGACTTCTGTCTCTAGCTGATCATCTACAGAAAGGAAGAGGTCTTATTAGAAACAGAAATTGTTGTTTAGAGAGCATAACATCTCAGTTTTATTTTGCATTCATCTGATGTTTATGCTTGGGAAAAATGAAAGATGCTACACAGATGTATGAAGTGACTAATAATGCTTTTTAGGGACAGTGGACTCAACTTCCCTCCAAAAGTAAAAGCTTGCGTTTTCAACTGCTGCAGCCCTATCCTGGGGTTAACAGGTTGGTCTCCCTGTGTGGGATGCACTCTTAAATTAATGGTGCCTATGCAGAACTATTTATAGACTGCTAGCATACACATCCATCACTGAGTACAAAGAAGGGTACAAACACCCTCCTAATTTTATGACTATTGTCAAAGAACTCTTAACAACACATCATAAACACACAACCGTTATAAATGCTTGAATGTGAATGTGCATCTGCACTGCAGACTCAGGCATCCAGCAGTCCCATCTGTAACCATGAGTGTCATTTTCACATCATCTCTCAAGAAATAACAAGATTATTTCAGACTTCTGTGTCTAGAAGTGGTTGACAGAAAGCCAGAGGCGCAATAAAGTACTGCACACTGGGGTGTGGACCCTGTTGCATGTGGTACATACTGAATCTGGCATCATTGTTGACAGAGGCTTTTCCAAAACATGTTCAAAAGGAAACAGCCTTGCACAAATGAGCATGCATGTTATAGATTATTAGTTCTCTCTACTCTTCTCTATAAATACCAAGGTCAGCACCTCCTGTTACCTCTGTTCTGATAGCAGCAGAAATTCTTGAGGAGGAGTAAGAAAGATCCACAGTACAGATCAAGGGAAGAATACTAACCAACTGCTAACCACATTAGTATTGAAAAAACAGTTAATGACCCAGATGAAATAAAAAAATTGTTGCATATGAAGACAGATTACTATGTCTTTCAGTATTGATAAAAAACAATCACCACAAAATGAAAATTCCATCTGTAATAAATATGTCATTTATTACAAGGTACTTAACAACAGCATTGTAATTATAAACTAAAACTAAAAATGTATTCTAGAAAACTCTGCCATTGATTTCATCACTTGGGGAATATGCAGACTTATGGTATTTTTATTGACCTGAATATGATGTGGCTTAAATTTGTAAACTTCAGGTGAGACATGCTATCATAGCACTAGTACTACAGTTGTGTGCACTTTGACTTTCTTCCTAGAGTAAACAATTAAAAGGTATTATTATTCTTGCTGGATTGCTCACAGGAACCCCTTGAAAACATGTTTTATTTCTTTTGCAGCAGCTCTTTCTACTGTAGTAGCATATTAGTAAAGGTACTGGATTGCTGACTTTATTTCTGTTACAAAAGTTAAGAGCTATCATTCCAGTAAAGATGAAAAACTGTAAATAATTTGTCTACAGAAAGACTATACCCAGTGAAATTTCAGAGAAATGATCCTTGCAAAAGTTCCACTAAAAGAATATTGGCATAATTATCAGAGGAAGTCCTTCTAACCTAACACTCCTCAAATTATATTAAGGGTACAGTTCTCAAAAACTGCTTGTTTACTATATAAATTATCTGATAAAGAACATTGATGTATTGCTCGCTACAGTTCATTAACAGTCTGAGGCATTAAGCCATTACTTTACTCATCCCCTAAAAATGGGCTCTAAAGCTTCCATTTTTTACTGAAAAACAAAGTAACTACAGATACAGCAACTGCCTGTATTCATCAGCTAGTGTAAACAGAGCACAGGAATAGTGTTAATATGGATCAGATTCTGCTCAGTCCCAGTTTGTAGCGCCTTACTTGAATTTCATTTAGAATATTCCCACAATTTACACTGGTCTTTTAATTAGTCCCATAGCTTTCAGAGACAATATTTCTAAAGTCTATTGTATTTTGTCATCCTCCTTATGTGAAAACTAAATACAGTAAGAAGGTTGGCTTTTGTGGGGAGCTTTTAATTTATATATTGAAAAGATAATTCTCATCTTGAGTAGGAAGCCAATTCAGACTGTCTATGAAAAATTTCCATCCTGTTTCTTCACTTGTACAAATCCTTACGAGAATAATTTTTAAGGAAAACTACGAAGTTTTAATAAAATGGCACATGTACCTTTACTGCTGCAATGTATAATGGCGACTCCTGTGAAAACACTGTGCTCTTTCCCACTCAACCTGTCAGGGAAAAAATGTGCATTAAGCAACAGTTTTATGAAATCTGTCATGTGCAAAAATGTTCTATGTGATTATGTTACTACAGCCTGAGAAACAGATCATTACATTACTACATCACTTGATGGCTCTGGCATGTATCCTAAATAGATATATTTTATTTTTTATTTCAATATAGGTGAAAAAACATTGGCAAAACAAAAAGTACTATCAAGAGATGCAGTCATTTAAAGTCTCCAAAATCTCACTTATACTGATGTCCACAACTTGGAAAAGTAGTCCATGGTATCAGCTTATTTACTGTATGTAGGGAGAAGTGACTATTTCAAATGCATAAGAAAAAGCCAGTCAGCATAAACACTGCTATTACAGGCATCTTCACTGAAAGCTGGCAGTAAATAGCTCGGTGATGCAACTTTGACTAAACAAGTGATAGGCAACCAGAACTTTTGTACTCATTTCATCCAGACTGGCCCCCAGGGATCCCAGATGCAGTGGAGAGGAAAAGAGCCTGTATTCCCTCTTTCCCCAAACTCATGTGCTTGCTCTCGTAGTAGCTCCAGACCACCACACTGTGGCCGATTAATTTTGAGGGCTTTATAAGCAATGGAAGTATAATAAATAGCCTGAGAACTTCAATCTTTGAAGAGAATAATTAAGAAAGTCTCGCAGAGATTAGCCAGGCTATTATTTTATGTGATCAGAAGCATCCCGCACTCTTCCTATCCCCCACAAGATTCCACATAATTAACTGTAAGATGAAACAGTAAGTGAAAATTTTAATCTGACATGTCTGATATATGCAAATACACATTTTTTCTTGTTCATATAGAACAAAATTAAAAGCAGTTCTAAAAACTACATTTTCATATCCATGATTAAGAAACTGACCTACTGAACTTAAACAAAACAAAAACCAAAACCCAAAACATTTGCATGTGTTAGAGTAAGCTCTGTAAAAAAAATTAGTGGTTTTGAACTACCCGAACTTGGCATGATTTCAAGCAAAAACAGTTGTTAGAAATCTCTTGCCAGACTAACTCCTTTGGGAATCTCCTACTAATAACATATGCTGCTATCACTTCTTTTTCAGACTACTTTTAACTTAGTAACATACCACAGAGGATGAAAAATTCAGCCGAAGTCATCAATGAAAAAAAAAAATCTAAAATAGACTTACAGAGCAAAACTCCAAAAACTACCAAGCTGCTTGTATCCTCTATTTAGGAGATGGCCGAGTTACAATGTTAACTGATGAAACAAGCAATGCTCCTTTTCTGTACTCCCTCCACAAAACAGAAGCATGACTAGAGGATTCATCACATCTCATTCTTCAGAAAGGAGGTGGCTAAGAGTTATTTAGTTGGTGTTTCTTAAAAAAAAAAAAAAAAGGACAGTGCTACATGATAACATTAA